TATTATTATTACTCATATTCAGTACAGCCCTTCTAATTATTTGATCAGATTTCCTGGGTTGTGTTGCGATGTTTGGCTTTCAATTGTGGGCCAAATATATCGACTCTATCTTTGGGCCACAATTCATCCCAATATTATTTTCTGATCATCACCGAAAATTATAGGCGTTGTCCTTGACCATACCGGGATCCTCAAGGAAAATTTAGATATAGATATAGCTCCCATATATATTTTTGTCCGATTTTATGTAAATGGTGTACCAAAGGCCCTATATAGCTTTCGATTTGCACGAAATTTGGCATAGCAAAATGAATTAGGTTTAGAATGATGTGTGTTAAGTTTCCTGAAAATCGGTCCAGATTTAGATATAGCCCTCATATATATTTTCGATCCTCAAGGAAAATTTCAAAGCGATCAGCGCTATATTTCCGTCTTCTAGTGTGGTAATAGGTTACTAAATAATATATGAATACGTAAGTACCTGTAAATATTTAAGTATAACTCCCACATCTGAGTACGTACGACCATATAATTGGTATCAATTTACAATCAACTTCAACAACTCGGGTCCATGTCCTTCAGGGGCAAATATATAGACAATAGAATACAAATTTTGTAATTTTTCACACAAAAGTCAGGGTCCATTTGACCCGACGAATATTGACCGATCCTTATCAAAACATGCATGCTTATTCTTTGGCCCGATCCCCTTCTCCTTGTAAAATTTCCCGATGTTCGCGCCGTAATTACGGCCTCTGGAGCGACCAGAAAAACTGACAAAAATTTTGTATTTGGTCCATTTCATCCCCTAAATATTAACCGATCTTTAACAAAAACAATAGCGGTCTTCATTGGCCAGAACACATCCTAAATGCAAAATTTCCTGAAGATTGGTCCATAACTATGGCCTATTTTCTAAGGCGTGGATTTCAAAAAAAGATTAAATTTTTCGAGGGGTTGATTTAAAAAAAAAAAATATTTTTCAAGGCGTCGATTAAAAAAAAAAAATAAAATTTTTCGAGGCGTGGATTTCAATTAAAAAAATATATATATTTTTCGAGGGGTGGATTTAAAAAAAAAATATTTTTCGAGGCGTGAATTTATAAAAACATTTTTTTATAGGCGTGGATTTCAAAAAAAGAAAACATATTTTTTTGAGGCGAGGAGTTTAAAAATTTTATTTTCGCGGCGTGGTTTAATAATATAATTTTCCGAGGCTTGCAACTTTTAAACATATTTGTTTATTAATTATCTATTCTTTTACTTATTTTTGCTTTTTAGTGTGATCGCATCACCCGCCATGGCTACCCTTGTGAAACGCACACAGTAACCACCAGTGATGGTTATATTCTGTCTCTATTTCGTATACCCAGTTCTCATCGCGATACATTGCAGCATGCGGAAAATAAACCCGCGGTACTTTTGATGCATTGCCTTCTGTGTTCATCGGATATATTTGTACTGGCTGGACCCAATGATGGTCTGCCATTTATGTTAGCCGATGCCGGCTATGATGTTTGGCTGGGTAATGCACGCGGTAATGTCTATTCTCAGCAACACACCACCTTGTCAACATTCTCTGAAGCATTTTGGTCATTTGCCATGGATGAAATTGCCCTAATAGATTTGCCTTCGCATATTGAATATATCTTACATACAACAAATCAGAAAAGATTAAATTATATTGGTTATTCTCAAGGTACCTTGATCTTTACCATTTTACTATCAGCCAAGCCGAATTATAGGGGAAAATTAAAAGCTGTTCATTTATTGGCACCGGCAATATTTGAGTGTCACCTACGCTCACCTCCCGTACTATTGCTGGCGAAATTTTTAGGTAATCCTAGTCAGGCGGCAAATATTATTGGTACCCTGCCAAGTCAGGGTATCTTTGGTTTGGCTAGACTGGCGGGTAATGGATTTTGTAAGAATCCCCTGCTTATGGAATTTTGTATACAAATATTAAATACATTTAGCGGTTGGGATTCGCCATATTTGAATAGGGTAAGTTCTCCAAATAACTTTAATTTCGATTTATAATACAAATATAAATTTATTTCCTCCCCAGACCCTTTTGCCGGAAATGCTTTTGACCACACCAGCTGATGGCTCAAATTTACAAATCAATCACTATCTACAATTGGCCACATCTTGTGAATTCAAAGCCTATGATTATGGGCCAGAGATTAATGTTCGCAAATATGGCACAAAGAAGCCACCACTATATAATGTGAGAAATATCCAGACCGATGAACCGATTCAATTCTATTTTTCTGAAAATGATTTTTTGGCCTCCTACGATGATGTCAAAGATCTGCATAGTCAAATTGGAGATCGTGGACATTGGAATCTTGTTCGTTATAGAAAATATAATCATTTCGATTTCACTTTATCGATAAATGTTAAATCGTGTATTAATAATTGTCTGGTGGATCGACTGGATAAATATGAGGGGCGGCCGTATAACGGTAACCTTTGTAACTGTTTTAGAAAAAATCCATTTGGAAAAAAATGAAAACAATTGTTGTTTTATTTTTTTGAACCTGCTTTCAAATAGTGATAGTAAGTCCAAATTTAAGAATTCCAGCTTTGCCTGTTCATTAAAAACCAAATTGTACCAGATTTGGTACCATTCTATACTTTCCAAACCTATCTTATTATTCTAAACCTGATTTCAAATAACAATCGTAAGTCCAAATTTAAGAATTTTAAAATCACCAAAATGTACCAGATTTCGTACCATTCTGTATCCATACACTCCCACAGTAACCTAAGTTGCAACATTCAGGATTCGAGTTCTACCCGTTAACCAAAGTCCAATTTGTTCCAAATGTTGTCCATAAGTACAAATTTTCTAAACTACTACCTTAATTCCTAAACTACCTCCATGTCTCAATCCTACACTCCAACTATAATTATACCCTTCACCACACTGTTGTACAGGGTATTATGTCTTTGTGCGTATGTTTGTAACAGGCAAAAGTAAACGAGATAGACCCATAGTACCTTTTGAGAATATGCATAGAATCACTTTCTGAGTCGATTTATGCATGGCCGTCCGCCTGTCCGTCTGTTGGTGTTAAATTGTAAACAAAGTACAGGTTGCATTTATAATCCGATTTGGATGAAATTTGGCACAGCTCAATTGTTTGGCCCAAGGACGAACCCTATTGAAATTGGGAAAAATCGGTTCAGATTTCGATATAGCTCCCATATATATTTTCGTCCGATTTAAGGTAAATGGTGCACCACAGACCCTATATATATTTCGAGTTGCACTAAATTTGCCAAGTTTCGAGAAAATCGGTAAAGATTTAGATATAGCTCCCACACATAGTTTCGTCCGATTTCATGTAAATGGTCCACCAAAGTCCCTATATATCATTCGATTTGTATGAAACTTGGCACAGCGTACTGAATTCAGCCCAGAATGATGTCTGACAAATTTCGTGAAAATCGGTCCAGATTTAGATATAGCTCCCATATATATTTTCGTCCGATTTAATGTGAATGGTCCACCAAAGTCCCTATATATCTTTCGATTTGCTCGAAATTTGGCACAGAGTACTGAATTAAGCCTAGAATGATGTGTGCTAAGTTTCCTGAAAATCGGTCCAGATATAGAAATAGCTCCCATATATATTTTCGTCCGATTTAATGTGAATGGTCCACCAAAGTCCCTAGGTATCTTTCGATTTGTACGGAATTTGGCACAGCGTACTGAATTAGTTCTAGAATGATGGGTCTTAAGTTTCGAGAAAATCGGTCCAGATTTAGATATAGCTTCCATATATATAATAAGTACGAATTTCCCAAACTACCTCAATCCTACACTGCAACAGTCATTTAATTCCAAATTTAAAGTCTCCAGCTCTATCTGTTCACCTAAATCCAACATGCACCAAATTTAGTACCATTAAATACTTTTCGTACACATAAGTACATTTTTTTAAATGTACCTCAATCCTGTACTCTAATAGTAGTCCTAATTCCGATTTTCAGGAGTTCATCTCTATACACTCAACTAAATGCAAATAGTACTAAATTTAGTACCATTTTGTACTTTTTATACACATAAGTACGAATTTCTTAAACCATTTCCATACATCAACACCACTTCCGAACCTTTATTCCGTATAACATTTCAAGATTCTAGCTACATATGTTCAATAAATATACAATTAGAACTAAATTTGCCTAATACAGAGGGTACCATATTTGGTATATTACGTACCCTTCTAGTTCGAAGTTCCAAAAACCCAACCTTATCTCACGCCTACACAACAACAACAACAACCCACACTCAAAATTTCAAGCTTCTAACATTCTTTCTAACTTTCCATCAGAGACCCACATTCCAAAAGAATACAGAGGGTACCATATTTGGTACATTTATTGCCCTACTAGTTTCCAAAAACCCAGCCTTATCTCACGCCTACACACCAACAAAAACCCACACTCAAAGTTTCAGGCTTCTAGCTTCAGCCGCTCCGTCTGGGCGATGATCTCACTCACTCACTTAACTCTAAGCTCTTGTATATATATATATATATATATAGATATAATTTGTCGTTATTTTTTTTGTTCTTTATTAAACAACAATTCAATTTGCTAACTTCTCTACATATTTGTAGCACTTCAATATATATGTTTTGAATTATTTTATCTTTTGTTTTTTTATATACGCAATGCAACTCGACTATTCACATAATAATATGTGGCATAATAATTATAAAAATCATTTTATATTTTTGTTAGTATTTCATTTTGATTTGCGTTAATTAAATGAAAAATAATTGTTAATTGTAAGAAATTAAAAAAAAAAAACAGAACTTAACAAAAAGTCATCCTTAAAAAAATTATTTTGTCAGAACAATGCCTCGAGGGATTTGGATATCAGTGAGCGATTTTTTTTTTTAATTCAAAACAAATTTTTTTCACTTTCACATTTAGAGCAGTCATTTGGGGGGTAGTGGGTAATCCAGTCGAAAGTTTGGGCGCCACTTAATGGAAATGATGATGATCGAAATGATGATAAGGATCATAGTGCAATGGCAAGGGATGAATGGTCTTGATAATTGGTGCCGGATGATATGTCTTTACAATGGGTACAACATGTTTGACAACGGGCACCACGACAGGTTTGATAATCGGAGCACTGTGGATGACGGTGGAGCTTTGATGTGATATGGCAGCGGGTACATGGACATATTTGGCCACATGTAATGGTTCATGGTGACCATAGTAAGGATAATCCAAATGATGATGATGGCCATGAAGATAACCAGGTCGTGCTGAGCACAGGGCAACACATCCGACCAGCAAAAATGATAGCTGCAAAGGAAACGAAAGGAGATTCAGCCAAGGATGGAAATATCCATTCCTTCTTTTCAACTTACCACTTTTGTAATCATATTTTTTGTTGTTGTAATAATCCTTGATCACTTGCTGTCTAGAATTTCGTAGCTACCGAATCGAATGTCTTGAACGGTTCTGTTGGAAAATTTTAACTGATGATTGTTGTTGCCGGTGCCAAGTCTTTTATATTTTTCAGCGTTTTTTTATTTTCGGTTTTCCGTTTTGCGATTCGTTTTTTTTTTCTTTCTGATTTTGCATTTCGTTTTCATACAAAAACTGAAATTAAGTTCATCGCAAGACAATGTACAATGCTGTAACCCACCATCCGCAGCAACAACAACAATTTTAGCATAACACTATGACATCAAAAAAAGACCATAACAATAGCTGTAATTTTTGTTTCATTGAGAAGAAAAAAAAACGCTGCAGAAAAACGCCAGAGAAATAGAAACATAGCAATCTTCATCATCTGCATACATGCTACAATGGGGTTGGAGAAGTGGAGAGGGAGGGTGGTGGACAAATGCCTGGTGTTTTTGTTAAGGTTTATATGCTGTCAGATTGTATGCTGCAACATCAGAAGTACAGCATAAATAAAATCTGTTAAAACAGTGGGTGCATGGAGAAATACCTCATGAGATTCTATAGAAAACATACGCTTCAATAAATATTATTTATTAAATATTTTCAAAAAATTTCCAATAAATAATAATGGTATCCTAAAATATATTTAAAACAGAGACTGGGTAATATTTCGTGATAGTGGCACCTTCTTTCCTGATTAGAGGTCAACAGCACCTCTTCCTGGCACTGACATATTTTCCGAATATTACCAATATTCAGTAGAGTTCTAACTACTTGTCCACATTCCCTTCACCGTGGGTTGTGTTGTGATGTTCGGCTTATAATTGTAGCCTATAGATCAAATCGAAAAAAAACACAAGAAATTAGTTTTCGGTCCACTTTATCCCAAAATTATTATCTGATAATCGCCGAAAATTGTACGCGTTGGCCTTAACCATAACTGGAACCTCATGGAACATTTCAAAACGACCCGCGCTATATTTCCACCTTCTAGAGTGGTAATGGTTTATTAAATAATATATGAATACGTAAGTACCTGTAAATATTTACGTGTAACTCCCTCATCCGAGTACATACGACAATGTAATTGGTATGCATTTAAAGGTAAACCACTCCTCTTGGATATACTGTCAACTTCTCGGCTGTATGTCCCTCAGGAGTAAATATATACGCTGTAAAATACAAATTTGGTAATTTTCACACAAAAGGCAGGGTCCATTTGACCCGCTAAATATTGACCGATCTTTATCAAAACAGGCATGCTTATTCTTTGGCCCAATCCCCTTCTCCATGTAAAAATTCGAGATGTTTGGCCCATAATAGCGGCCTCTAGAGCGACCAGAAAATCAGACAAAAATTTAGTTTTTGATCCATTTCATCGCCTAAATATTAACCGATCTTTACCAAAAACAATAAGGGTCTTCATTAGGCAGAACCCATCCTACATGCAAAATTTCGTGAAAATTGGTCCATAACTGTGGCCTGTACCGTGTTAACAAATTATAATGGGCAGACGGACGGACACACATGTCTAGATCGACTTAGCTAGTCGAGATATGACGATCGGTATACTTAAAGGTGGGTCTAGGACCAATCTTTCGCGGCGTTACAAACTCTTGGGCTGCACAAAGCTATAATACTCTGACAACATTGTTGTGTAGGGTATAAATACAGTAAGTAAAGTAATAAAGTCGGACTTGGGTATATTGTACATTTGGTATCCTTACAATTACATGTCAATGTTTCCTCGAAGGAGCATACGCATGTCTTTCTGCAACCTATGATAAATTTAATTTCATTCGGGCAGATTTAGAGTTGGAAAACGATTAATAGCAAAATTGATACACGCCGCACTGTTAAAAATTTAATTTCAATCAGACACCCGTTCGAAATGGAAGCTATGGCTCAATCTGTGTCAATTTCAGCAATAACGTCATTCAGGTCTCAATTTTATACGTTGCGCAAAATTTCGTGTAAATCGGACAAACATTAGGAGTTTGGTGCACTATTTAGGTAAAATTGGACAAAAATGGGGGCTATATGGAAATCAGAACCGATTTTTCCGAATCTTACCACACATCATTCTAGACTCAATTCAGTACGATATGCCAAATTTCGTAGAAATCGAAGGATATATAGGGACTTTGGTGCACTATTTACCTTAAATCGGACGAAAATATATATGGGAGCTATATTTAAATCTGAACCAATTTTCACGAAACTTAACACTTATCAATCTAGACTTAGTTTAGTATGCTGTGCCAAATTTCGTGCAAATCGAATGATATATAGGGACTTTGGTGCACTCTTTACCTTAAATCGGACGAAAATATATATTATTTAAATCTGAACCGATTTTTCCCAATTTCAATGGGGTTCGTCCTTGGACCAAATAAGTGATTTTGTGTACAATTTAACATGGACAGACGGACGGACATGCATAAATCCACTTAAAAAGTGATTCTATGCATATTCTCAAAAGAAACCATGTGTCTATCTCGTTTCCTTTTGCCTGTTACAAACATATGCTCAAAGACATAACATCCTGTACCACAGTGTGGTTAAGGGTATAAAAACCATGCATCTAGATGGTTCCTCAAAAACGATGTTTTAAAAACCTACGCCTATAGATGGTTTCTCAAAAAAAAATTGGGCTTTTATACAGCCCAAAAAAATTTACAAAGAATCCATTTTAGTTACATAAAAAAAATTGACGCCACTGTTCATTAAAAATCACTTATAAACAACAATTGCCACCGGCAATGTTTTCCATGTCTGTGGGCATTATTATTGGCCAAGAGACTAGAAGTAGAAGAAAAAAAATAATCGACTACCCTTTAGCATTCACACAATATCAAACACACATATACATACACATTTATGTCATTCAATTGTTTACTTTCAACACTGGCAATTATTTGTTCTTTAAAATACTTTGGCATCTTCTTTACCAACATAGTCTGATCTTTTTTCTCGTTTTTTGTTTCGTTTCCCTCCAATAAAGTCGTGTTACATTCTCTATTTGTGTATCTTTCTCTGTGACAGACGACAATTGTTGGAGGAGATGCTTTAATTTGCCTGAAATCATAGCAGAGATTCTATTGCAAATTGTCGTTTTGTTTGTCTCCTTTACAAATTCATTCATCGAGTGTTAAAAAAAAGGTCTAGTTATGTATTTGACAGTATGCGAATGAAATATTGTGGAGGTTCAAACACCTGAATACATTCTGAGTTTCAATCAATCTGTTGTTTTTTTTTTTTGCATCAAATTATTAACTATTTGAATAGAACTAGAATTCGTTTGATCCAAAATGTATATAGTTTGATTCCGATCGCAATATCTATTAGCTGGGTCATATTTATGCTTTTACTTTTGGCATGATTCTGTTATTGTTGTATCGAACAATATACAAGTTTTAATGTTTTTGCCTTGGTATTTTTTCTGTGACTGAACATCGTATTTGCATCACTGGTAGTTGGTTTAATTATAGTTTATATTTTCCGTAGCAGACTGTTTTATTTCTGATATTTCTCATCTGTTTCCAAATGAAAATTGTCTATGTCTTATTCAAAATGGAAGTGATGCTGTGTGTGCTTAAATAAAGTTCTTCGTTAAGTTTCAGACAACCAAGATTTGTTGGTAGTCGTTACGCCATTGACACATGTTCCGGTTAAAAGCAGTGACGGAGTATTCTTCTTGAAGAAATATATAAAAACGTGGAGCGTCATCAAACTGCGTGGAATATTTAAAAATATGTTTTTATGGTCAATCTGTAATCTTGGATTTTTTTAAAATTATTTTTTTAAGGAACACCTTGGATTTTTATAAATAATTTTGGAGAAATCATTTTTGAGCGTAATTTTTTTTGAAATAATTTTTTGAAGGACCATCTGTAATCTATGTTGTCAGGGTATTATAGCTTTGTGCAGGCGCGAGAGTTTGTAACACCGCGAAATATGGGTTCTAGACCCACCTTTAAGTATGCCAATCGTCATATCTCGACTAGTTGAGTCGATCTAGACATGTGTGTCCGTCCGTCCGTCTGTCCATTATAATTTGTAAACACGATACAGGCCACAGTTATGGACCAATCTTCACGAAATTTTGCATGTAGGATGGGTTCTGGCCAATGAAGACCCCTATTGTTTTTGGTATAGATCGGTTAATATTTAAGGGATGAAATGGACCAAAAACTTTATTTTTGTCTGATTTTCTGGTCGCTCCAGAGGCATCAATTATGGTCCAATTATAGCGAATTTTTCAAAGGAGAAGGGGATTAGGCCAAAGAAAAACCAGTAAGGAAAGTAGTAAAGTCGGACGGGGTCGACTATATGATACCCTTCACCACTATGGGTATATTAAACAGGACTATTAACATGAAATTGGTTGAAATAGAATGTGTGATATTTATCTAAATGTGAATCGGACTAGATCTATCCGTAAAAATGTCATTCGTTTGGGACAACAGTATGTAAAACGACTTCAAAACAAATATCTATAGGCCATCCGTAAAAAACATCCGTTCTAGAAAACGTAACGCGTTATTCTAGGCTCAATTTTTTATGTTGTGCAAAATTTGATGTCAATCTGACAAACAAGAGGAGTTTGATGCACAATTTATTTAAAACCGGACGAAAATATATGTGGAAGCTATATCCAAATATAAACCGATTTCAACGAAAGTTGTCAATTACTTTAAATCAATTTATAATATAAAGCACCTATATCTAAATCTCAACCGATTTTAACGAAACTTGGCACACATCATTCTGGACTAAATTCAGTACGCTATGCAACATAAGAATGTTGGTACATTATTTAAATTAAATCGGACGAAAATATATATATATCTAGATTTGAACCGATTTTCACGAAACTCAGCACACATCATTCCAGCATCAATTCAGTACGATATACCAAATTTCGTGCAAATCGAAAGATATACAGGGGCTTTAGTCGACCATTCACATG